ACGATGCCGCCCGCAGCCGCTGCCGACGATCACATACGCACGCGCAGCCTCCAGACTGCGCGGCTGTTCCCGAATAAGCCGCGCGCTGCTCTCTTCTTGCTTCTGCCTACGAGCAGCATCCGGAGCAGTGCGTGCTTCGTAGCGTCGCGCACCAGTACCTTCCAGTTTTGCGATCCCCTGCGGGCCAGCACAAAAAACACATCACTGAGGCGCCTCGGCAGCAAAGCGTCGAGACGTGCGTCTCGTCTCGGTCACTCGGATATATCTGCTACTGCCCGTTTCTCGGCTAATCGGCACCCGTTCAACTTCTTCAAGTGCGCATCACCACAACAGACACGCTTCGTTCCCGGACTAAACTGCTACTGCCACACCAGGCGTGCATCAGCTATTCAGCAGTTCTAACGTGTGTGTGTGTGTTTGTGCGCGCGCGCGCATGCAGAATTTGAATGCTGAATGCATGTCTTCGGAAACCGCTGCTAGCAGCTCTACAGTACTTGGTATATTCACGTCTGAAAAATCTGCGAGAGAACTGTAAGCGAGCTGTGATACCATGGTTGATGATTTTGCAACGATCGCTGACTTGGCTACCGCCACCAGAAAGAGAAAAGTAAGTCCAGGATGAGTTTTTAGTTGTAACTTGCCACTTCGCATCCTGAAAATGAGGTAAACAGGATTCCACTAGTGTCCTTTCTTTAACATGAGTTCGGAATTTGTCAAAAAGTATTTCAAATGAAAATAAAAAAGAGAAAAGAAGATTGGTAATTAAAGAGGAGCAGAGGGAGCATGCAATCAGCTAATTAAGCCTTTGACTGCCGTTGCTGCTGCTTCAAAATAAATACACCCAGGTGTTTCTGTTAGAGCATAGTGGCCCAGATGCACTATCCCGATGCTCGCTCATTTGCACGACCGGTAATTCATGGGCAGAGAGAGAGGGAGGGGAGGGGGGAGAAGCACTACACCTCTCGACATACTGCGTGTTCCTCAACGCGACAAAAAAAGCCGTTGCAAATTTCCTCGTGCTCATAAAAAATGGGCCTAATTTCATATCAACCACGTGATTCCTAACGTTGTCAAAAATTTTGTTTCACCAGCAGCTAGACGCTTTTGTGAGAAGCAGTTCATTTAAATTATAGCAACATCGCCATCGCCATCCTCACTAGTCCCATATTCGAGCGGAACAGAATTTTTCAAAATTTCGGTGAAAAGAGGGAAGCAGTTTCTCCCTAATTTCAATAGCGTTTTTTACACATTTGTGCAAATGCAAAAAGACATGTTGATAAGAGGGTTTCGGTGTTTTTGGTCGCATTCTGTCACCCACTTCCAACTTATCAACCGGTAAAGCTAGGAAACTACAAATTCTGGAGAATGTTCCCAACCCATGTGCGCTGATCCATTTTCAAAATCATCGTTCACATACGCCTGGGTCTCGCGTACGGATGCCTAAAAAAAGTTACGTAAATTTTTTAGCGGAAAAAGAATTTCGAGAGCAGGGCAAGATAGGAAGCAGAACTTTACAAGAATATTCTGTGCCCTTGTGTGAGCTAAAAATTTCAAATTCAGCTTATCTTTTGGTTAGCGTTAAATAATTGCCAACTAACAAAATGTTTATGAAAATACCCAATATTTAATGCGCAGTTACTTAAAAGCAGTTAGTTATTAGCTAGCTGTGAAGTGTATTTGAAAATACTAAAGACCGAAACTTAAACACAGACAAAGAATTACTTGAAAGAGATTAAAACGTTTCGGTCCATTAAACTGCTTACGTCTTAGCTCAGGGCCACAGCTGGACTTCGCCACTACAAGTGGTTGTAGCACAGGTTATTACATAATAAATAAAGGTAGGTATTGTGTGAAATAAGAGACCAGGACAAAAATTCTAGGAGAGCGGTGAGAAGGTAAGCGAGAGGGTGACAGACCAGTTATCACTCTACACGTTGACTAAACTGAATTATTTGGATCGTCAGTGAATAAATCAAACTCCCTTCGAATTTCACTCCCTGTGAGATGGGAAAGCGCTTGCAAATAGCCCAGTGGTAACGCAATGCCAGCAGCAGCAGCAGCCAGCTGTTATTGAGGCTTGTTGACAGTTCCTTCTCCGGAGGTTCGTTTAAAAGTAAGCTGAAAGCTGTTTCTCCAGGCACATACCAATACCAGTTTACCTTCAAAAATAGATCAGCGAATCACAGGAGGATGATTATCAAAAACAGGCCATGCAAAACTGGATAATTTAAATTTAATCATTGGCGACGCGCACTGGGCGGGCCCGTGCGATCATGCGTTTTTGCAGTGTTTCATGCTGTAATAAGATCACTCGAAATTCCGCTAGCTAGAAACCTCTGACATACTGGTCCTCAGATTTTGGGAAGTTAATTGTCCACGCTGTACTTGGACAGGGAATATTCCCTTGAAATCCCAGGTTCCCAGCTTTCTCAGTTCCCGAGTTACCCAAATTCCACCCAGAAAATTTCACAGGGCCGTACGTGGCAACCACGCATGACTGGGGGCTGGTTTGATAAATTTAAGTAGTAGATGAGCTAAGAGCGTTTCCTGAAAGTTTCAGCCTCCCAGCTTCCCTGATTCCGGGGTTAGCCATTTTCCCGTCAAAAATTTTCACGAGGCCGTACGTGATAATCACGCATAACGGGGGCTGAATTTGATAAATTTAAGTTGTATATGAACTGGGAACATTCGCTGAAAGTTTCAGCCCCTAGCTTTCTTGTCTCCCGAGCTAGCGATTTTAGCGCCAGGAACCCTCACTGGGCCTTACGCGGGAAACGCGCACACCTGGGGGCTGAATTTAAAATCTTTGAGTTTTATATGAACGGGGAACATAATCCCAAAATTTCAGCTTTCTAGCTTTTCTGGTTCCCGAGTTAGCGATTTTCCCGCCAAAACTTTGAGGCGCTCATACGCGGGGCCTAGACGTGCGTGAGAATTGGTACCGCGGTCCTGGGGTGGCACTTGGCCGGGGAACCCACTCGCAAAATTTTGGCTCCAGAGCTTGCTTGGGTGCCGAGTTGAAATACCCGGACAGACAGACAGACAGACAGACACACACACACGCACACCGGGGTCGTCGCAATATGGGTTTTCGCATTTGCATATATGCAAAAAAGCATAAAAAGTCTAATAATTTGCATAGAGAAATGAAACGCTTCCTGAGGCACCAGCCTTGCCATGGTAATTCTGTTCCTGCCCGTGCTTATGATTCTTGCAGTCGATGATAGTAATGTTGCCAGTTGATATTTTTTCTCGTAGTAGAAGCAGCTTTTGGTAGCTTCACGATAGAAGGATCTAAATTCGTGAAGCGAGGACAAAATTCCTGAATGTTAATGCCCGGCGCTAAAAATCAGGCCGCTTAGTAATTTGGGTAATGGTGTGCCAAGCAGAGATTCTGACCACTCAGAATACATCCAAAACCAATTGTTCGAGTGTAAAGCCACCGTCAAATTTAGCAGCGCTATGAATGTTTTTGGTAGCGAGTGCTTTTTGCTTCTGGATGAACTTTTATTTTCAAGCAACATAATATTTAACATTTCATGTTGGTCGAAAATTTCGGTCTCCGATTCACTTTTTTGCTTGGCCTCTGCGCTTTTTTTACTTTCCGTGATTTCCGTTACATGTGTAACCGGACAGGTATGACACAGTGGAATAGCGCTGTTGTTGTGCAGCAGGATGACATTCTGACAACCAGTCCCTCAACGATTCGTT